TGTGCTGTGGCGCAAGAGGCAGAGGTGGGCAAGCACAGGCGGGCTGACGGCTGGGGTTAGGGTTGCCTTCTCGGGCGCTCACTAGCTCCAACTGGTCTCCTCATTTGTAACACGAGGCCGCACAGGTGACTGCACGGTCCTCGTAAGGACTGGCGCACACGTGTGTGAGTGCTGTGTCAGCACCGTAAGCACTCGTGTGAAGCCCATCATGGCCGGCTGCCAGCCACCAAGGTCGCCAAGGGCCAGGCCCGCGCCCGGGCCAGGCCTCCCTCCCGAAGAGGCCGTGCGGCACAGGCGCAGAGGGCGGGTGTACGTACGAGTCCATGCTGCGGGGCGCGCCGATGAGGGACATCATGCCGCTAGGGCAAAAGAGCCGCAGCTCCAAGCTGCCCCGTCGCGGGTGAGTGATGGAGACCGTCACTGCCACGTGCTCCAAGGTCTGCAGCCCCGACATGGCCAGGTCCGTCCTGCTGACTGAAGGGGTTCAGGCTGGGCACCAGGCCCACAGACACCTACACCCACTTCATCCCAACACACATACGCCTCACAGGACACCACGGCACATCCGGGGCCTGTGCACACATCGAGGGGAGGCAGCGGCGGCTTTGAGGCCCTTTACACTCTGGAGGCTAGTTGGGGAGACAACATACATACAACACATAGAAGACCCGGTACAAGTACCAAACGGAGGACTTCACCAGTTCATGTATCCGACACACCATTCCCCCAGGACTGCCTACAGCTCAGGGCCCGCACCAGAGGCTGGGAAGACACAGGTAAGTCGGACATGGTCTCTGCCCTCCACCGGCCAGTGGAATGCTAGGGCGGGAGGCACACACAACTGATACCAGGTCCCAGACGAGGGGGTGGGTTCAGGCACACAGAGAAGGAAATGAATGCAGAGTGCTAGAGGGTATTCTGGAAGGGAAAATGACATATGCAAAGGCAGAGGTAGAAACGGTTATTCCATAAAGGATTAAAAAAAAACTACTTAAGAAAATAAACTTCAAAGGAAATTATGCTGAATAAAAAACAAAATCAGGATACGTGTGTGATTTCATCTCTATAATGTTGATGTGTAACACAGCAGAGATGGAGATCAGGCATCATGGGCAGGCCAGGGGGACAGTGCGGCCAGGTGGCTGACTGAGGGCGTGTGTGAGGATGGGCTGCTCAGACTGCAGTTGTGGTATTGGGTATATAAGGCAGCACGTGGTAGAACTGCATATGCGAGCGAGCGCACACACCTGCACACACCCGCACACAGAGTGCATGTCTAACTGGTGAAATCCAGATAAGCTAGAAGCCCTGTGGACTGTACCAATGTCATTTTCCTGGTTTTGACAGTGTACTCCAATTACTTAAGACATTATCATATGGAAAAGGGTAAAAGGGTGACTGGAATTCCCCGGAACACTTCTTTACAACCTCCTACAATCTAAAACTATTTTAAAATAAAGGTGTTTTTTTTAAGAACAAGCTACTGAAGTGAAGACTCACTGGAGAACATGAGGGAGAGTCTTTCTAAAGCACCCCCCACCCCCCCGGTGTGTCCTCAGGCAAGGGAGCGCCTGTCACAGACGGACCGAGGCGCTGAGGTGGGCAACGGGCCCAAGACGAGAAGGGCTTTCAGAACTTACTCTAAAAGCAAGAGCTTTACAGGTTACTGAACGAGAATGAAGGGGTGGGTGTGCATAAGGAAGGTGCCTCTTACAGCGCCGGCAGGAGGAGTGGGAGTGGGAGACAGGCCAGCTGAAGGCGCAGTGAGCAGGGAGATCTACGCCTGGCGAAGGAAGAGGAGAAAGGAGGCTGAGCCTCCCGGGACACCACTGTCTGCGCTTCCCAACCTGCTGCTGGCCCCTCGCTGCATTCCCGAAGAGTGCACCCATTACCCACTGGGACCCCGTGTGCGTGTGTGTGGGACTGCCTACTTGGCGCCATACTTCGTGTTTCTTTCCCTCCTCGGCTCCACAGACCTCTCCATCCCATGTCAGCACTGGGCCTTGTCGTTATCTGGGCCCCCCTCATTCTAATGCTTTGGTAACTTTCATCGTGGCTCTTACTATATAAGCAACACAAATTAATCAAAGATAAATGAGAAAAGTAGTTGAGCAAAATTGAAAAAACAAACAAAAGCTCCCACAGCTCTTGGTAACATGCTGGCAGACCTCCATGGGGACTTCTGTGTGACTTTCCTTCAGTTCCATCTGTAACCGCTTCAAAGCCGGTGCCCCTCCTCGGAAAGCAGCGTGTGCCTGTCCTCCTTTCCACTCCCTCCGACCCCTCTGTCTGCTCCTCAGGAAACCCATCCAGCTCGCTGCTCCCACAGCGGGACCACAGCGCCTCTCCAGCACCGTACACTCCCCAGCTCCCTCCGCCGGCTTCGCCACTCACAGTAGCTTTCTGGCAGAAATCCAAACCGGATCAAGCCAATTACCCGTTTTCCTGGCTAGATTTTGCTTATGTCTTTGCTACTACAAGTGAAAAACAAAAACTAATAAACCCTTTCTCAACACTTCACTTCCTTCCATCTACGAGTTAGGAGCTTGGACTCTGGCCTGGCTGGTGTGGCTCGATGGTTGAGCATGACCTATGCACCAGGAAGTGATGGGTGATTCCAGGAAGTGATGGGTGATTCCCAGTCAGGGCACAGGCCCGGGCTGTGGCTCGATCCCCTACAGGGGGTGTGCAGGAGGCAGCCCATTGATGTTGATGTTTCTACCTTTTTCTCCCTCTCCAAAAATTAATAAAAACACATTATTTTTAAAAGGGAAAAAAAATGTGGACTTGAGCCATCCAGCCTGAGTTTAAATCTCAGCTCTGCCATTTACTAACTGTGAGAATTGGATTAGTTTCCTTACCTGTAAAATGGGGGTAGTAACAGTACCTACGCAGAGCTGATAAATTAGTTAATATACATAAAGTAATTAGAATATAGAAGTATTAGATATTATTCATTTTCTTTGCTATTAAAACTTTTTAAAAGGATGTCTATGTTCACTATGTCTACTTCTTACCCTTCCATTCATCCTTGTCATTTTTTTTTTTCCTATTAAAAGAGTATACATGGACCTAACAGTTTGGCTCAGTGGATAGAGCATCGGCCTGCGGACTGAAGGGTCCCAGGTTTGATACCAGTCAAGGGCATGCATCTGGGTAGTGGGTACATCCCCAGTAGGGGGTGTGCAGGAGGCAGCCGATGGATGTTTCTCTCTCATCAAATCAAACCTGGGACCCTTATTCACTGAGCTAAACCGGTTTTGGCCAAGTTCTCTTATTCTTATTCTGCCAATTCATATCTGCTATCGAATCTCTCTAGTGAATGTTTTAGTCATATTTTTCAACTTCAGAATTTCTATTTAGTTTGTTTTTAATAATTTGTTTTTATTGATATTTTCTATTTGATGCAAAATCTTTCCTTTTTTCTTTTGTTAATCCTCACCTGATATTTTTTCCCTTGATTTAAAGAAAAATAAAAAATAAAAAATATTAAATATATATATATATTAAATATATATATATATATATATATATATATATATATATTTTTTTTTTTTACAGAGAGGAAGGGAGAGAGCTAGAGAGCTAGCAATATTTTTTTTTTTTTTTGAGAGCTAGCAATATTGATGAGAGAAACATCGACCAGCTGCCTCTGTACCCACAACCAAGGTACATGCCCCCGACCAGAATCAAACCAGGACCTTTCAGTCGTCCACAGGCTGACGCTCTATTCACTGAGCCAAATTGGTTTTGGCTCCCTTGATTTTTAGAGAGAGTGAAAAGGAGGGGGAAAGAGAGAGAGAGAGGAGAGAGAGACATATCAATTGGATGCCTCCTACACATGCCCTGACCAGGGCTGGGGATTGAACCGGCAACCTAGGTATGTGCCCTTAACCAGGAATCAAACCCACAGCCCTGCCCTAACCAGTTTGGCTCAGTGGATAGAGCATCGGCCTGCGGACTAAAGGGTCCCAGATTCGGTTCCGGTCAAGGGCGTGTACCTTGGTTGTGGGTACATCCCCAGTAGGGGGTGTGCAGGAGGCAGCTGATGATGGTTCTCACTCATCGATGTTTCTAACTCTCTATCCCTCTCCCTTCCTCTCTGTAAAAATCAATAAAATGTATATTTTAACAAACCCACAGCTCTTTGGTCCAATGGCCAATGCTCTAACCATTGGGCAAAGCTGACCAGGGCTAAAATATTTCTTTACTTACTTAATCATGATTTCTCTTATCTATTACATGTTTATAATGGCTACTTTAAAGTCTATTTCTAATAAATGAAAGATCTAGCCACTCTCACAGGCAGTGCTGTCAACCAAGAGTCCTACAATCCAGCAGTTATTCTTCAAAGACAAGTGCAAAATAGATACTTCTGGATAAACAAGGTCTGAGAGAACTTGTTGCCAACAGACCCGCCTTGTAAGAAATACTAAATGAAATTCTTTAAGCTGAAAGGAAGTGGTCCCAGTTGGCAATTCAAATCCAAAGAAAAAAAGAAAGCACCAGTAAGTGTAATTGTGTCTTACAGAAGACAGTTTAAGCGAATAGTATATCCTTCTCTTTAACTGATTTAAAAAGCAACGATAGTCCAGCTGGTGTGCCTCTCAGGTTGAGGGTCAACCTATGAACCAGGAGGTGACAGTTCAATTCCCAGTCAGGGCACATGCCCTGGTTGTGGGCTTGATCCCCAGTAGGGGGTGTGCAGGAGGCAGTTGATCAATGATTCTCTCTCATCATTGATGTTTCTTTCTATCTCTTTCTCCCTCTCCCCTTCTCTCTGAAATCAATAAAAATATATTAAAGGAAAAGAAGTAATTACATACAATTTGTATACAGTGTACATAGGAATATGTACTTGCAATAACAGCACAAGAAAGGTGAGTGGGATAAGGCTGTACTGGGCTAAGAAAACGGCTACATATGGTAAAGTAGTCACCACAGTGTATTACTATGTTTGTAACCACAGTTGTAATATTTTCTTACTTATTTCTTTTTTCATGGATGGGGCATAGTGTCACAGAAGGCCACAGTGTTCTGCCACCGTGAGGAGGAAGCCCACGTTGCTCTTCGGATGTGCTCTACTCAGAGGAGCCATTCTTCAGGCGCTCTGCTCTCTCCACCCACGCACAGATGTGAGATTTGTCACACACCGAAGAAGTGGGTAAAGAAAACAGAGCTGCATGGGAGTAACATTTCTGTATCTCTGGAATTAAGCTGGCACAAACCCAAGGCAGAGTTTGCCTTCCCATGTTTACATGGAACCTAGAGTAGTCACGGCAGAGGCAAGACCGGGTCTGGAGTGCTCATGATGAGAGAGAGTTCCCTATCGCTCCTCGCCACCGCTGTCCTCCACTCCCCAGGAGCAAACACCTTTTATTGCCTTTAGTCGTTTTCTTCTGGGATCTGCCTTCATGTTTCTAAGTAATAAGCATGTATGGCTACTTCATGGTTTTTCAATAAAGGCATTGATTGTCGACTTTCGATTACAGCAGATAAGGACTTAACTTCAAGCCCATGTCTTCTCCCTACCTTGCCTTCTCAAAGTAATTACATTACAGCTTTTGGTAAGATCAATATTTTGTTTGCCATACAACGGCCTTACAAATATATGAATTGAGTCAAGTGTGTACAATGATGACACGTCATTGCCTGACTAATTTGCCGTTTTCCCCTCTAGAGTGAATAACTGACCCGTTTTTTGGTGAACTTAAATTCATGTCCCTACCGCTACTTCTTGCCAAACTTCACAAAAGAACCATTTAGCTCCTCTGGATACTATTCTTCAAATGAACAAACAGTCAGAGGCTCCTCAGCACCATTTCCCACTGAAGGTCTCTCTCTGGATCCTTCTGCTCCATTTCCACCTGCTGCATGGCTGTTGGGCTGGGACCTTCCTCCGCCTCCCACTCGGCTTCGCTTCCTCTCTGCACCGTCCCTCTCTCTCCACCCCGGCCCTCCCTTGCTTGCTTTCCTTCCTTCCTAACCTTTTCTTCTCCTGGTTCCTCTTCCCTGCCGAGAGCATCCCCTACCGCCTTCCGACCAACGGAGCACGGGACTTACACATCTGAGAACACCCTTCCTTATCCTGCCTTTCCACATGGTTATTAGTCAGCCTGGGTTTATCGATTGGAAAAATTTTCCTCAAAATTTGGGAGGTATCTGGAGCACTTAGGCGGAAGCTCTAACCATGGGTGAGCTTTCCACTCGGTGGGCTTCCTTAAAGTGAACTGGACCGGGACAGGGCTGTTTCATGGAAGGGCCCACATATTAGTATCTGTGTGTCTTTTGATAAGGGATCATTCCATTTTTCTTTTGTGTGTGTGTGTGTAAATCCTCACCTGAGGTTATTTTTCCATTGATTCTTAGGGAGAGTGGAAGAGAGAGGGAAAAACAGAGAGAAACATCCATTTGAGAGGAACACATCAATTGGTTGCCTCCTACACGTGCCCTGACCAGGGCCTGGGCCGGGGAGGAAGTTGTAACCAAGGTACGTGCCCTTGACCGGAATCAAACCAGGGACTTTGGCCCACAGGCTGACATTCTACCCAGAGTTAAACCGGCTAGGGAGATCATCCCATTCTTCCAGAGAGGAAGTTTTCAGTCTCCTGGCTGCCATACTCTCGGACCTGAGCAGCTGCTGGCTGGGAAGGGTTTGCCTTTCTGTGTAAGTACCGCGAGCTAACCAATTCCATCCCGGGGCTCCTCTCCCTCTGCGCACTTCCTGGCTCTCACCATCCCTGGGCCACTGGGTCCCTGGCTGTGGAGAATGAACTTCCCAACTCCTGCCTAGACAGGAAGGGGCTAGGATGGGAGTACCCCTGGGAGTCTTCCTCTTAACTGATCCCTGTTTTTGTCTCATACCTCATCTCTGTCCTCCTCAGTGCGCGGGGCCTCCAAGCCCTTCCTGTGCCTCTGGGGTTCTGTGGTGTGAAGGGCTTGTTTCTTAGCATCGCCCTTGCGGGTATTTTTCTACACGATTTTCTTAGCCCTGCTCACTTCTCCATTCACTTCCATCTTCCAAAAATGTGATGAATAGCTCATTTGCTGTGGTCTCCTCTCTCATTCTCTTTGTCCTTGTGCTTATGCCATTTTTATTCCTTTATTCTTATTTTGGTGAGGTTTTGGGAGAAAGCAGAGATAAAAGCATGTGTTCAATTTGCCATCTTTAACCAGAAATCTCCTGTCCCATTAATTATTCCACTGGTTGCGGTCTCGCTCCTGCCCTTCTGAGCGCACTGCACTCAGTCAGCACGTCCTTGCGGCCTCGCTGATGAGCCGGACACCTTCCGCCCTGCCCACGCCCTCAGCACCCTGTCCTGGTGCCTGTAACACTGCCCTCCTGACCTTTCCCCCCCTCCCAGGCCATCTCCTGGCAGCTGTCCTCCTCAGAGGCGCCTGGGTCCTTTTTTACCCTTCATCTACCTGCCAACCTGGGAATCTCTCTTCCCTGACTTTTTTCTTCCCTTTTCATGCTGGTGACTCGAAAATCATCACCTGCACACTTATTTACTCCATTGCTTCCAGGTATAACCTTCAGATGACACCGAGGAGCCTTAAACATAGTGGAGCCAAACCTCCCTTCGGGGCTTTCCACTCCACCGCCCTTGCCGGGATCTGTTCTTCCTCCTGCATCCTTAATATCACTTGCTGGCATCACCATCAAACCAGTTGCCCAAGCTAAAAACCTGGAAATTATCTGATTTATGTACTGAAAAATATATGAAATATTTACAGAAATATATACGTTGACATATAAATTTTCATTATAGGAAACTTCAAACATATATATAAGTAGAACAGATGATCTCAACACCCAACCAAGCTTATTATGACTATCTGGCTAATCTTATTTCATCGGTGATCCCCACTGCTTCCCCTTCCCAATCCCTTTAATGGACTCCATCAGCCTCATATCATGTCATCAGTAAGGAGTTAACACCACCTCTAAAAGCTACGGTCTTGGCGTCTCTCTGACTGCTCTTCTCCCTTACTGCTAACATTGACTGGTGACAATTTATCTCCAATGCTCCCCTCAGACTCACAGGACTGCAGTCCCCAGAGATCCCATCGACGTGGCACGTGTTACCCCCGTTGCCCGCCGTCCCTTCACCACCTCTTCTCCCAGCTAGCTTGTACCTTGACCTTGTCATCTTGACTGTGGTGCCTCTGACACCCCCACCGCACAGACTGTCTTCCCTCCCAAGCTGGGAGCTCTCTGAGGCAGGAATCATGTCTTACCTCTGAGTCACAGAAATGTCATACAGTGCCTGGGCTGAGGAAGATCGCACTTATTTGTAGAGTGAATGAACCAATTAAGGACATTTCAGGGAAATAAATGAAAGGTTAAGTTGCAGGAGAGGACAGGTGAAGATCTGAGGAGAGGCAGGGGACTGAGAGGGACTGAAAACTCCTGAGTCTTAAGTTTGGGAGGCTTGGGAACAGAAATGGCAAGAATGGGAGAAATTTGAAAAGCAGACTGGTTTTCTAGAGGTGATAAGGAAACCAGCAATTTTGTTCGTGCTCATGTCACGTACTGGTGGAATAGCCGACAGCACACAGTGACCCTGGAATGGAAAAATGAAGGAAACAGCCATAGTATAGCTGGAGAGCATGAGCGCAGAGGGCTGTCAATGGTAAACGACAGCATCATGAAATGAAAGAAAAGGGATGCAAAGAATCCTGTGAGTGCACACAGTGGCACTTAAAAAAAAATTATACATATATATACATTGATTTCAGAGAGGGAGATAGAAACATCAATGATGAGAGAGAATAATTGATCAACTGCCTCTTGCATGCTCCACACTGGGGATCAAGCCTGCAACCTGGGTATGTGCCCTGACTGGTTATTGAACCGTGACCTCCTGGTTCATAGGTCGATGCTCAACCACTGACTCATACAGGCCAGGCCAAAATGGCATTTCTTATTGGTCCATACAGGGACTGGATGGTTCTTATTGGTCCATACAGGCAGTGGTTACTTCTTATTGGTCCATACAGGCAGTGGGTGGTTCTTACTGGTCCATACAGGGACTGGGTGGTTCTTATTGGTCCAGGGACTAGGTGGTTCATACAGGGACTTATTGGTCCATACAGGGACTGGGTGGTTCTTATTGGTCCATACAGGCAGTGGGTGGTTCTTATTGGTCCATACAGGGACAGTGGCCATGTATGTGAGAACACTAGAATTAAATGAGTTAATACTTTAAATGAGCTAATACTTAAAATAAATAAATAAATAAATAAATAAGTAAATAAATTAGCTAATACTTAGAACAGTGCTTGGCACATAAAAAAGTACTCAAGTCTTGGTGGATCATCATGTTATTATTTGGCCTTTGGTAAGTAAGGGTCTTTTTCAACTTTTACCCTCTGACCAGAAGACCCCAGGGCTTTCTCTGCCCAGGCTCTCGGGGAAGCTGTGAAGATGCCTGTCCAGCCTGGTAAGAGATCAGAAGAGATTCGCTCTAGAACTCCTGTGTGAGCGATGGCAGCTGAAGTCCTGAGCCATTGCCCTGTCACGAAGAGGACCAGGAACCTGGGGTGAGCTCAGAAGCGCTGGGAATGGGACGAGCAAACAAGAAAACAAGTACCCCAGGCGGAGCTCCGAGGAGAGGCCATTGAGCAAGGAGGTCATGGACACTGGGGGCGCAAAGAGGCTGCCACAAGGGCCTCATTGATAGGGTCACAGCAACAGGTCGAAGGATGAGCTCGGAGCTAGCCCTGGGGTCCGACCAGGAGAAGATAAAGTAAAGTGAGTGATGAATCGAAGCGTCAGCGGTCAAGAGAGGGTGTGGCACAAGCAGCAATGGCTCTAGATGATTCCTCAGAAAATGTGACAGGCTGAAGGTGGCGGGGACTTTACTGTGTTTCCTGACAGGTGAGCGAGGATGTATGAAGGCAGGAGGAGGGATCCGTGGAGAGGGTGGCTGGCTGGAGAGGGAGGAGGCGGAGAAGGGAAGAACAAGATTCCCTGCTTAGGCAGAGGACTAACCACACACTCAGGCTGCCAATAAGGATCAAAAGTAAAGTGCAAGTGGTGTTCAGGAGCCTTCTATAACTACACACTCTCTTGTGTTGTAGACAATCCCTCTGAACCCCACTCTCTCTCCTTTCTGGTGGAG